ACAGTGGCTTTCCAATAAAGGGTTTCAACTTCAAGTGGTGTCAATGCTCTCTTTGAATTCTTTCTCAAGTAATTCTTCTCAAAGGCTTTAGCTTTAACCTGAAATTGCTGAACCGTATAGGTTTCTCCGCTTTGCCAAACGGGTTTCTTAACGGGTCTGTGCTTCCTCGGACAAAACCCGATCTGCTGCTGCCTAGTAGTAAATGTTGGGCCATTAGAACCGGCCCGAGCTGACAGTGACCGGTTTAGGTTAGCAAGAGCAGTTTTCTTCGGTGGTGCAGGTACTGGAGGTACAATTTTGCAAATTCCATACTTAGAAGCTTCCTTTTCGATCTTGAAAATGTAAGCAATGGGATCTTGAAATTCTTCTAGGGTTGGATGATACTCTGGTGCCACTGGTAGGGTTTTCAACCATGAAAATACCTCAATGTTACCACTTGCCTCTGCCATTAATCAAATAATTAGTAGTATTTTATTTTTTTTTAGTACACCCGAAAACACATATATCAGTAAGATCTACAAGAGAAAAAACATTGTGGAAGAAGGATAAAGAAACACAGAGAGAGAGAAAGAAAGAAGAGAGAGAAATAGGTGTTGAGATTCTCTATTCTCCCATTTTTCTCTTTGATATTTATAGCAGAAAGAAGTAATTTTTATACTAGCAGTTAGAGCTATTTCTCCTCTGTTCTTTGTGCCAAAAAAGAAAAAAAAAACAGAGGATAGAAAAAAAGGGGGCAGAGCAGGGGAGAGAAGTAAAACAAATAAATTGTGAGTTTTTTATTTGTGTTTCTACAGCTAAATAACTCTTGAAAATGACACTATGGTTGCACTATATTCACTCTTTTGCCAATCTAATAACTTTCATCAAAAATCAAAATAATAATCAAACAAATATAATTAGATCGATCAAAATAAATATATAATTTGCCTAAAAATTGCTTTTTTTTAATTTTATCTTTTAGTTTAGATTCATTTCTAGATTTGTCGGTTCGTTCTTTTCATTACTTGAGCTTCAATGTAAGATGAATAAATTTTCACACGTCAAATATTTAGTTACCGTTGGAAAGCTTTTTCCATTAAAATCATTAGACTTTCCATTGAGTTCAAATCTACTCTCGCCTCACGCTCCTGTTTGACTTGTTGAATAATAGACTTGTCTTTTAATTAAAGAGATTTCAGAATCACAACAAAGGTTTATTTTTCGAGACTGATTAGTAAATTTATTAGTCCCTTTTATTAATTGAGATATTGAGTAGAATGAATAAGTTTATACATTTCAAAATATTTAGTTACCGTTAAAAATTACTCTTCATTGAAATGGTTAGACTTTTCATCAAGCTCACATTTACTCACACTTGTGAAATGATAGGCTTGCCTTTTAATCAGAAAGATTTTAAAATCATACGAATGACCTATTTTTTGGGACTGAATAGTAAATTTATTAACCTTTTTTATTATTTGAGATTCCGAGTAAAATGAATCAGTTTCAACATTTCGAAATATTTAGTTACCGTTAAAAAATACTTGTCATTGAAATTGTTAGACTTTTCATCAAGCTCACATCTACTCACACCTCACGCGCACGCCTGTTTGACTTGTGAAGTGATAAATTTGCCTTTCAATCAAAGAGATTTCAAAATAATAAGAAAGACCTATTTTTCGGGACTGAATAGTAAATTTATTAGCCCTTATTATAATTAAGATTTCGAGTAAAATGACACTGTGGTTTCACTATATTCACTCTTTTGCCAATCTAACAACACTCGGCTCCTATAACTATCCTTTCATCAAAATAATAGTCAATAAATATAATTAGATCAATCAAATTAAAATATAATTTGCCTTAAAATTATAAGTTGACTGTTCGAAATTACTTTTTTTAATTGTATCTTTTAGTTAGGGTTCATTTCTAGATTTGTCGGTTTGTTCTTTTCATTACTTGAGCTTCTATGTAAAATGAATAAGTTTTCACATGTCAAATATTTAGTTACCGTTGGAAACTTTTTTTTCATTAAAATCATTAGACTTTCCGTTGAGTTCACGTCTACTCTCAGCTCACACACCTGTTTGAATTGTTAAATGATAGACTTGCTTTTTAATTAAAGAGATTTCAGAATCATAAGAAAGACTTATTTCTCGAGACTGTCTAAATAAATTTATTAGCCCTTTTATTAATTGAGGTTTCGAGTTAAATTTCTAAGTTTCTACATTTCAAAATATTTAGTTACCGTTAAAAATTACTTTTCATTGAAATCGTTAGACTTTTCATCAAGCTCACATCTACTCACACGTCACGTGCACGCCTGTTTGACTAGTGAAATGATAGGCTTGCCTTTTAATCAAAGAGAGATCTATTTTTCGGAACTGGATAGTAAATTTATTAGCCCTTTTTATTAATTAAGAATTCGAATAAAATGAATAAGTTCCTACTTTTTGAAATATTTAGTTATCGTTAAAAATTACTTTTCATTGAAATTGTTTAGACTTTTCATCAAGCTCACATCTACTCTCACCTCACGCGCACGCCTGTTTGACTTATGAAATAATAGGCTTGCCTTTTAATCAAAGAGATTTCAGAAGCATAAGAAAAACCTATTTTTTGGGATTGAATTGTAAATTTATTAGGCCTTTTTATTAATTGAGCTTCCGAGTAAAATGTATAAGTTCCTAACTGTTAAAAATTTATTGTCACTAAAATGTTAGTTTTTTCATCGAATTCACATCTGCCTGTTGACTTTTGAAATTATCAACCTGCTATTTAATTAAATGGACTTCAAAACCATAAAAAGACCTCTCTTTCGAGACTAGTTACAGATTTATTCGTCTTTTTAATAAATTAAGCTCTCCCATAAAATAAATAAATTTCACGTGTTATAATACATCTTTACTAAAAATAACTTTCTATTATATTTTTAATTTTAGCTCTTTAGAAGTTAAAAAAGTGAAATATATTTTCTAGCGGTGAGTTAAAATTAAACCTACTATATATAACAAACAACATAAATACTCAATTTTTAAGATCAAAATTTAATCATCTTCAAAAATTTTAATAATTTATTTGATTGAATATCTAAATTTTCTCATTCACCTCTTATCTTTCATTTTTCTTTTCCTGTACCACTAATTAAAAATAAGTAAATAAATTTGACCATCTTCACAATTTAAGGAGACCAATAATTACTGGCTTGTTGCCTCATTGAGTTTGAAGATATTCTAGTATTTATTAAGTAAATATATTTATATTATTTTTATAACATAAATCATCACTTTGAGTGTGACAATATATAAATATACTCTTTAATTTAATTTCAAATCATATTTATGTACTTTGTGTGTATAAAAGTAGACACTTAAACTTTTGAACCAATAGACATACATGTTTTATATGTCATTTTTCATTCAACGTAATGTCCTACGTGTATTTTGCTATGTAAAACTCATGTGTTTATTTATTTAAAAATTGAATAATTAAAATATCTATTTATGCATTGTGAAAATTGAATGTTAAAATTAAATTCGAAACAAAGTTTAAAATCAAATATATTTATTATGTCAGACTGGCATACTGCTTTTTACTAGCCGCTGGTTTACTATACATACCTTTTGAGGAAAAAGACAACTGGTTTAATAGAATATTTTTCACTCAAATTAAAAAATATTATTTAAGAACATGATATTTAGTTGAGTTATATATTATCTCTGTAATATTATTATGTAATCAAACCTTTTTTAATAAAAAATATTGTTTATGATAATATTTCATTAACATGGATTCGATCTTTTATTGTTATATAATATTTTATGTCTTTTTAAATTAATACTAAAGCAAATAACATGATTATTTAAAAAAATCGTTTTTGATAGACAAATTGCATTACTAATTTTTCTTTTATGGAACTTAAGTAAGATTAGACACGCAATTATAAAAATTGAATACGACCCTTAAATTTTTTACTTACTTCGAATAATAAATATTAATTTTAACCTTAATTTATTTTTTAATCTTAATTTAACCAAAAAACAGAAACTGTTGACACAGCTAATGAATAGTGAGTGCAAATTGCACAATAACATAAAATTTGTATTACGTATACATTAAAAACCATTTGTTTATTTTTGTAAATATTCATATTTAGTGTTTATATCCAATTACGAAAATTCAACTTAAATAATAAGAATACACATTACTTACTCATAATTAAGTGGTAAATACGTATATAAATGACACATATCTTATAATTCATTGATTTGGTATTAATCAATTTATTAGGGAAGTGGGTATCAAGCTAATATGCTTATTTTGGTGGCCAAAAGAGCTAACTAATTGGTTCTTTAAATCAATGAATATATTCCCCTTAAGAAGAAATTATAACCAAATACGTTTAGGTTTCTCTAATTAATTATAATTATACAGATTTGAAGTCAAATTAATGACTAAAATATTAATCATGAATGTCAAAAACAGTAAATCACCTGAAATTGTGGCAAATATCTATTAAGTTTCCATTTCTATTTGTTTTTTTTCTTGATTTCTTTTGATTATTCAAGTTAGACTTGTCAGAAAATCAAAAAAGTTTATTTCTTTTTCTTTTGCGACTAAAAAAAACGCTATAAACTTGTTATTTACATTATGCAAAGCTAAATTGAACAACAAGAGTTTATTGTACGAGTTTTAAAATGGCAATATTGCGCTTTGTCTAATCATCCATATCAGGTTTAATATAATGTCTCTAATCATCAGTGATGTCCTAACCTTGATTAATTAATCATAATCTGGACCTCCACTTAGAATAAAAATAAAAACAAATTAACAAAAAAAAAAACACTAAGAATAGAAAAGTTTCTAAGCTGGCATACCGTGACAAAAATTTATTTGGCTTTGGCTTTTGCCTATGAAAAAAAAATGTTTTTTTTAATTATAAAAATTGTACCTTGAGTATTTTTTTGTAACGCTTCTAATATGTAAATTTGGAAAGAAGAAAAACAAGGAATTTTCACACTAAAAAAGACAAAAGCATCATTATCAGTGTGTTACAAATCTTGTCATTAAATTAATAGGAATGTGTCCATACTAGCACGAAACCAAGAACTGAAATAATTAGGCTTAATCTAGGAGGGGGTTAGCAGTTGGGGCTAGAAAATTACCCCTAATAATAAGATCAGCAAGTTACAGGAGGGTTTACCCACAAAGTGCTCACCCGAAAAGCAGAGACTGTGACAGAGATTGTAGTGATTGCGGGTTATCCAGGAATTCCAAAAAAATAAAAATCAACAAGTAGTGTTTTAGCATGAAATATATAGTACTGAACACAATCATTTCAACCTTGTTTGGTATCTGCATCATCCTTCACAGAGAGTTCAAGTGATACTGGACAATGGTCACTCCCATAGAAACCTACCATTTCATACAACATATTAAGCTTTAGATACGCGGCAAAATAACAGGCATGAAGAAGAAAAACACACAGTTAACGACCATAAAACCAGCTGCATACGTGAAAGATGCTAATGTTAGTGAGACTTCATAATCACACAGAAACACATGCTACTGGTTTATCGGAGGAAAGATGAGATCCTAAAAGTGAAAAATGAAGTGAAATCTGATAGGGTTAAAATTATGACGATGGTAGAATATTAGTAAACGTTTTGAGGTCACAAAGTTACTTCTTTCTGACAATTTCTAGGCAGCCAATAGGTTCATGTATTGTTTCATTTTTGAGATTAACTTACCATCCAATTCGATCCCTCGTCCATGCATCTCGCATGAAACAATCCTGTCTTTCATTTTATCAGATACAACAAAGTAATCTATTCTCATCCTTTTCCCGCGATACCTGCAAGTAACGTTATCATCGGATCTATCAGTTCCTATAGAGGACCAAAAAATAAGAACAAATAAGATGGTGGTGGTAAAACAAAGTACTACTTTAACTAAAACATGTTTCCATGGAAGCATCACTTACTTCCCAACAGGATTTCCCGACCACGAGAAGCCACATTCCATGTCCGTGTCCTTGTGAAGAAATCGATATGCATCCACTAGCTTTCCTCTGAGAAATAGGAATATCACATAACGGTACTTAACCAGACAATGGAATGAGATTACACAGGTTTTATCCAATGGAAAATTTCATTCTTCTCAAATTAATCTTCCATCAGCTTAAACCACATAACCACACAAGATTTTGAACAACAATACACAAACATGTGAGCTTCATACATGATTCTAAGCTAAGTTGCTCGCGTGTCTCATAAGGGTGTGGATCTAGAGGACGGATCCTTCATGATCTAAATTTTTAGATTTGAGGGTACAGATACATGTATGGATATGGGTGGGGGGATTCGTCTAAAAATAGAGTTATATGTCTAAATTATGAGACATTACTAATCAAGAGGAAAACTCCAAAAGAAGTTAAAAAGAAAAGGACTGACATAGAAATTTCTACATACAAGCAATTCCGTTTCATCAATTGCACCCTAGCTTTTGGTTTGATTCTCTATTTTGCAAAAAACCCAAAATTGGTTTGACCAAACCCGGTACAGATCCCACATCCACACCCATGTCGCGTCAACATGGGTGCGACACCGAAAGTGAAGAGTCGGAGCAACTTAGCTTCTAATTAACCATCATTTACATTTACTTTAGATCGGTGGGTAGATTAAAAACTCGTATACACCACAGCTAAAAGTTAAACATATGCAACTGCAATGGACAGAAGAAGGTGATAGATGTTGGGGAGCCCCAAACAAGAAACAATTTTTTTTAAAGAAGAAAGGGAAGTGAAAGGGTGATCAGAGAGGTAGAGCAAACTCCCTTATTGATTTGCTTTTTACAAATGAAAACTGAACATAGAACGTAGATCAGAGAGCCAGATCTAGATCCCTGCCAAAGAAAAGGTACTCAGTTTTCTTGTGTCTTCTCTAATGCCCTCGACTCTAGTTTCAGTTGAGATGAAATTTTCAAAACATTTCTTGAAAGGTTTGATACACTGGTAGTACTAAAAGAAGCACTAGTTATGTCTAGCATCAGCAAAGAACGGAAGGAGAAAAAAATTGCAGATTTATTGTCACAATGTTACAAATATACCAACAGAAAAGTGAATATACAATCCCTAAGAAGTGATAACCACTTTCCATTAAAGAAAAAGTGGATTGATAGAAGCTATTAGTCATTTCACAATTATATATGACATTGATTTAAGCGATTCAGAAGTTTGAATAGATTTACATACTCTTTTAATATGGCACCAAACCTCGTCCTTTCAGCCAGGGTAAACCCAGGTTGACCACAATCCTGCATGATAACTTAAAGTCAGGATGTTAAGACATAACCACAAGATGATTGCAATTTAACTTGTTCTAGTCCTGCTTCGATTTCATCCAGGACTATTGGAACATACCCTATAAACTTTTATCCAACATAGCAGGAGGAACAGCCAAGTGCGAAAGCAAATTCATGAAACATAAGCAAATGTTGCCATGAAAAGTTGAAACCGTCCATTTTCTATAATCCATAAAATTAGTACAGCACAACGAAAGAACAATAGGAGTAATTTTTAAGTCTGCTTCTCTTCTTATAATAAAACCCTTTCAGACTGCCAGGTATGCTGATTTTTCAGTAAGACTTCTGTCTCGTAAACATTCTATCCATCGAAAATCATGGGCTACATACATACATGATGTCCTTATTCCTATGCCTGCAAGTGTAGCCGAGAGGATCAATGCCATGAGAAGAAATTTCCTCTGGAAGGGAAACTCTGAGAAGAAAACACACCTGGTGAAGTGGGAATTTTAATTGACAGTAAGAAGGTAGGACACCCGGGTATATGCAACTCAAAGCCCAAAATCAGAACTAAGCAAGTGGAATTGGAGACTTGCCACAGAAGAGATCTCTCTATGAGAGGATGTAATCAAAAACAAATTTGGGAGAGGAAAACAAGTGGATTACGAAACTAGTGAATAATCCATATGGGTTTTGTGTATGGAAAACCATCAGGAATTTATGGCCGATTATTCTCAATAGATCCAGTTTCAAGGTAGGAACTGGAAGAAAAGAATCCTTCTGGGAGAACAGTTGGATAGACCAATGCCCAATGAAGCTAAGTTATCCTGATATTTACAATCTATGCCAGAATCAAGAAGCTACTGTGGAAGAAATGTGGTCACACAATGGGTAGAATTTCAGCTTTAGAAGGCTCCTAAATGATTCGGAGATTGGTTGAATGACAGAATTCCTAAATACCTTAGAGGTCGATTTCAGGGATTGACTGATGGTGAAGAGTGAAGACTGCATGGTGTGGAAAGGGGACAGCCAAGGAAGATTCTCAGTAAAATCAGCTTATAGAGATTTTAACAGATCAAACAAACAGGTGGAATGCTTGCCATGGAAGTTGATATGGAAAGTAAAGATCCGCTCCAAAATAAACTGCTTTGTATGGATAATGGATAAAGGGTCTGTCCTAACACAGGATAACCTAGTAAGTAGAATATCTCAACTATGCTCCAGATGTATTTACGTGGAGAGCAAATAGAGACAATCAACCATCTCTTTTTACACTGTAATTGTGCAGATCAGCTATGGAGAATTTTCAATAATCTGAGAGGCATCAGGTGGAGCATAATTGATGTTCTTATAAATTGGAACAGATAAGGAGGACTATCCAGTCAGAAAGCGAGATGAAGGATTGTCCCAGCATGTATATGGTGGATTTCATAGAAGCAATCACAGATGCTTTAAAGATAAAGGGAACTCTATACAGAAGTTAAAGATGCCTCTCCTTTGATATTTTTGGTGTGAACAAGAATACATAGAAGAAGCAGAGTCTATCTTTGATGTTGTAAATTACATTGAGAATGCTTTTTAGGTCTTCCTATTAATTATACTACAACTTGTCTAGTCATCCTGTGTATATATGATATTATTTAAGCATCAAAAAAATAATAATCATGGGGGAAGGTCACAGCTGAAATTACTAGTGGTTGTATTGTTTTTTTTCACAAGCACCTCGTGGTAATATTGTTTATACAAGAAACTGAAAAGTAACAAATATTAGATATACGAGATTATCTTTAAGTGGTACTTGTGGTGATTACATTTTCAGAAAGAAAACAAAAAGCTTTATTATAAGATCAACGGTTATAAGTGTGACGGTTCTTCACGAGCATTTTTCTTGAGTGAAAATGTTTTACAAGAACCTTTTTGTTCTTCCAGAGATACTACAGGCCCTTCTTGATTCAACAATAGTGATTATTGGAGTTATCGGGTTATTAGTGAGAGAATCCCCTCTCTCCAGGTTACAGGGTCATTTTTCCGAGTTCCTTCTATGTGATTCTCTGAAGTGCCCTAGTATACAAAACTTATTTTCCACTGGTCAGTTCACCTGGAACATTGCCTTTGCAATTGAATGTTATTTCCTGGAAGTCTCAACCTTGTTCACTGTGACAAGAGACACGACTATATGCAAACTCTTGACATGTTAGGGCTGTACGCTCTGCTCTCTCACTCCCGATTAAATTACTGTGGCCCTCCAATCCCCAAAAACACTTATTCTGCCTCCAAAAACATTAGCAAACACATATATACTGCCAAGGTAGTGGGCATAATCACAATTGAGCTTTAACGATATTCACTTTTTTTTTATAAAGATAGCCATTTCTGTATGACATGATTGAAGGAATTGAAGTGAATATCGTCAGTTTAACGATATTCACTTCTATTCCTTCAACCATGCAAACAGACATGGGTACCCATCGATAAACACTAGGTTAAGCAAATAGCTTAGCAATTCAGAGCAAGGATTTACAGCCCCCCTGGGGGAAAAGAAAAGAATCCCACTCACATGGTTAAAGACACCAGGCAGTCTTCACGAGGGAAGGGAATATAGATGCACCACAATGATGAAGTTTTTGTAGTGTTTAGTATATACATGTTCATTGACAATAGAGACATACTATTGTCATGACAGCATATTACCTCTTTGTTTGGTGGAGTGTATCCATTGAGCTTGGCTGCACTGAAAAATTCTGGATGACTTACATCAATATCCTCATGACTGCAGGGAGGACATTTAAGAAAAAGGATGAGTATCATAGAAATTTCCTGAACAAGTTTCAAATGTATGATGTAGAGTCATTTTTTACTGTGAAAATTCAGAAGTAATGAAATTGCAAGAGATCAGAGACATCATGACTTTACAGCTGTTTGGATTTATAACATCAAAAAATAACTCATCCTTTTGAACAAGACTGTAAAAGTATTCATGATAATTTGTTAGCAATCCAACGATACTCACTTTTTCAAAGATAACATAAAGGGAGACAAAAAAGAATGAGAAAAGGAAAAAACGTAACAGAAAAAGAATTACATAGTCAAGAAAAATATAAAAATCAAACAGAACTGTACCTTACATTAAGATCACCACACCAAATAAGAGGTTTATCTGAAGTTGCGAGAACAAACTCTAGCATTCTTTTATCCCATTTTCTTCTCCTCGGAAATGAAGATTCCTCTTCTTTCCACCCATTGTTTGGCACGTATGTGTTTAATATTCGAAATGTCTCAAATTCAGCCAAAATAACTCGACCATCTGGTTCATGCTTAGAACCTAAGAATACAAGCACTTCTCAAGTTTATTATCGACTTCAGCCAGTTGAATCAAACATTTTATTAAGACAAATAGGGGAAAAAGAGACGGAGAAAGAAACACTACAAGTCAGATTGTGGACAGTGTCAGTGTCTGTTTGAAAATAACTGAAATATTTAGCATATAGCAGCATGACTCCTGTTGGTGACACATTTTCAAGACTAGAGCTTGTTAGAACAGAAACACCAATATGAGTCTACTTTTCTTTCAGTAGCTCCAAACACAAACACGATAATGATCCTATATTGCAAAAAAAATTATGTTGGTAAGGTGAAGGAGAGTGTTTTTTTCCTTTTCTGATAAAGAGTTAGGAGAAGGTGAGTTATCATCACAAAAAGTGTATTACATCAAGTTGACCAAGACATCCTTGAAGTACATAATATTAATGCCTACATTTCTTTGAAGGTCTATTAAAATGCCAAATTCACAATGTGTATGGCGAGTCGGCGACTAGGAACATACTTCTAAAGCAGACTTCAATGAGACCTTAACCGAACAAATATACATCTTTTTATTAGCTAAATGGAAAAAATCTTATCAAGCAGATGCATAATATGGTGTCAAACTTTAGCAGAAGACGACGAAAGACCTGTCAATCTCTATAATTTTCAGTTTTTTTTTTACAAAAAAACAAACAAATAGTGAGAGTCTTCTGCAACTAGAGAAACAAACAGTAACTGCTTCCAAGTTTCTTTTGCTTCCTCATCTAAACCAGACCGAACATCACGATTGGCCATCCACAGAATATGATAGAATATCCCATTAACCGAAAATTCACCGATCAAATTGAAGTAGCATGATATAAATTGTTTTTTCTCCTCCACCGCTGTCAGTGGGGCGGGAGTACATTGGTTGCTTCTCCTTAAGGAAGAAAGCTTCATCATTGTGTGAGTCTCCTAGGGCACCAAGAGCTGGTCGCATTGTATATTTGTATTTAATATACTAAACATAAATGCTGCGCATCTTCATCTTGATTTTCCCTTTGGAAATGAATCACTTAAAAAATAAAATTATATACTTATGGCACCTTTTGCATCAAGTGAAAAGGAAACCTTCTTTGGTTGAAAACACTTCTTGATGAATAATGCAGTTCCAGCATATTTTGAGTCAGAAAGAGACCACCAAACATTATAATTTTTGAAAGGTGGACTTGATAAAGCTCGTGTCACCACCTGCATGATGGAAAAAGTAAACCCAATTAAAAAGTATCACTACCTTACAGAAAGTGGAAAAATATTTTCTCAATATCAACTAATGAAATCCTGTCTGGCACTTAAAATTGCTGCAAACAAGTCAAAAGGAATTTTCTAAGGTAACCAACAATTAAGCGTTGATTTTAGAATTATCTCCAAAAGTGCAAAATATATATGATGCTGCCTCCAATTTACTTTAGTAACATGACCAGATGTATTACCAGTTTTTCTTCACGTGAAGCGCTGGTATCATCTTTTAACTCTCTTGGGTTCTTAGGTGCGCCTTTGGAACCAGCAGCTGGCATTCTTACTTCCTACCACCAACGTACGGTTAGATTGGAATTTATAACAATTATAAATGATACAAAATAACTGCCTCCAAGAATCAAATGAATTTCAGAACAACGGTTCAAAAGTATATCTCAATAAATAAAAGATGGAAACAATAAACGAAGTGAGTGCAAAAAAAGAAGAAGTCACCAGCTAACTTAAACCACAAATATGTATTATAACATGAAGTAAGGATGCAATATAATCACAATAAGAGGACAATCAGAAACTTCACAAATTTATTTCTTAGTGTGTAGTGTGTACAATCAATCAATCAATTTCCAGTGTAACATAATCTACTCATTCCACTTTATTTAATCTGTAAAAAGATACCCACAGTTTGAGATCATATAAGTTATTCTTCAAGCCATATCACCACTAAACAATAAGATAGGGTACAATCATGAATACACAAGTTACAAGCTCATATCCCCAAAAGATTAGGACCAGCGTGACGTTTCCCCGGTCAGATATAAACGAATACAAAAACATCTATAAAAACTATGGTTCAATCACACATTAGTTAAGGAAGGACTAATTCAGCAATTATAGCAGTCATATTTCCACTTGCTAGAGCAAAATCAAGCAGCAGTTAGTATGAAGGTCGTATGAATGTTGATGAAAAGGTGACTTGGGCAGGGCACATGAGAGATGCACTAAAATGTAGCTGAAAAAAAGTAGGTACAAGAAATAACTGAATTGATTTCAAAATTTTACATCAAACTGAAATACTAGCATTACTCAATATGAATAAGAAAATAGGAATGCTCATTGATGTGTAACCATAGTAAGGTTGGCTAGTCCACAATGCTTCATTTATTTTCTTCATTACCCCCTTCAACAAGGGTTGAGAAGAAAAGACATCAAAACTAGACTGTAAGGTTATCAGTGAAAATGAAAGTAAAAGTCGAGAACCAAAGCTCTTCCGGGAAGAGGAATACATCTAAGTAAAGCATCAAAATCCAGCTGATGCAGCGGTTACAGCATCTGGAATAGATCAGCACCATACCGTGGCAAATATTTTACTTATTTACAAGGCAATGAAAAATATGAAGAAATTGACTGTATATGAGCAAGAGCAAACAATGGGCCACTTATATGTAATGTAGAGTGTAGGCAGTAGAAAGATAATATGCAATTGATACTCTTGGGAGATGAATTTGCAGCCCATCTTTTACTGATCTTCTTCAAATATCTATGCTCAATTTATTTACTATAGCTTTTGTTTCTTCTTGCATAGTCCTTCTATATATTCTGTGTTTTCAAACTTTGTAGTCATCAAGTTCTTGTTTCCAGTTGGTAACACTTATTCAAAGATCATCATATCCTTTGTTCACTGTTCGACTTGCTTTTTCATAAAGGGATTACTCCATTTTATTGCAAATTAGGCACTGAAAAAAACTCAATACAGTACAGCATTTTAGCATCGAAAATACTCATTACAAAATAGCATTCTGGCATTGTAAAAAATCATTATAAAACAGATTTTTCCTTTCATCTTATACTCAATCTTACACTTTTTAAGCTATAATAGATTTTATCCACTACATTCTACTGTATTACATTGCTGTTATATAAAATATCCCTGGATGAAGAAGAAGGTGAGAAAAGCTCAGCTTTTCGGACCGGATCAATTTTCCGTGCCCTTCCCCTCCTCATACTCATAAAGTCAGTGAGACTAAGGTTTTGTATGTGTTATATCCTTTCAATCGATACAGAATTTATGAGGAAGCAACTTCAGTAATTGACATTTACCAAATTGTTAAAACCAGTGACCTGTAATACTTACTCCTTTGGTGTTATCACTTCGCTTCCAAGGCTTCTTTTTATTTCATGCAATCAAAACTCAGAAACACTTCAACTTAAATTCAACTTCTCTCTTCTCACATTCACTGTGTTGCAGAAATTAACAAGAGTGACATAAGGATCAAGAAGAAACTGACCTTTTTAGACAAAGCAAGCCTAGAGACTGTAGACTATGATGATACAACAATGTATGAAGAAAGAGCATTAGCACCCCTTTTAAACATGGGCAACATGGGTGGAGCCAAGTAGAGCCATACCCCTTCCACAGAAAATTACAACGTTTAAACATTATTGGAAGTTTTTTTTTTTTTTTTTATGTATACACAATATATATTGAAACCCTTTTAACTTCTTCTTGAAAATCCTAAATTTCCTGAAGTATCAACAATCGAAGTTTCCCAAAATAAAACATTTTTTTTTTCTAAATTCAAGATTCATCAACAAGGGCAACATTCAAAATCACAATAGCAAAGCTACTAGAAGAGAAAAAAAAAAAAAGGAAGCATAATTGAAGAACCTGTATGGCAATGACATCAGGGTCAAGATTCTCAATGAACTTGGTGAACTCTGTCCAGTTGTTCTTGATTCTAAGAAGAAGGCTATTAGCATTCCATGTCAAAAACTTTTTTGGCTCTTTCTTGTTGTCACCACCACTTTCAGATATCGTTTGTTCTCCATCTTTCTCCGATACAGAAGAAATAGTGGGTTTCTTAAAAGATCCATCTTTTTCAATTGGTTGGAAAAATCTTTTCATCTTTGTGTTCTTCTTCTTCTTCAGCAGTGAACTCTGATTCTTGTGCAGAAGAACGAGAGCTCGCACTGAACAATGACCATACTACCCTTGGGGCTAAAAACGTTTTCCGATAATTATAAAACTTAAGATAACATAATCACCTATTATTTAAATTAATTATAAAAATTCTCTTTTTTCCTTTACTACGCTTCTTTGAGATACATTACAATAGGAGATTACGCTACAGTGTCAATTGTAAAGACTCTATTTCGGTTAATAAAGTGACCTAATGGATCTTTTGATTAACAAAAATACATTATAACAACGTATACGATACAAATATTATTATTGATGTATATTTTTAATTATTTCAAGTCTAAATATAATTTGGTTTATAATTATGTATCAAATATATAAGTTAAATATTGATACATAACTTATATATCGGGCGAAGAAGTAATGTGTTCGTGAATTTTGAAAAATTCAAAATTATTATAATTAAAGAAACTTTCAAATTCAAATATGATGTAATTAGCTCTCAAATTGCTTCAAATTACTTTTCTTGATAGTGTTAAATATATGATTTTAAAAGTAAAGCTCAAATCCACCTAATTTTTTAAAAATAAAATACGTTTTTTTTCTTAAATAATATTTTCTTTTTGTTATATTTTTTTTGTATTTTTTCCTTGTATAAATTTTTTGCGTCTTTTTTTCCCTCAAATAATACTTAAAAAAAATTCACACTATGTTGTAAATGTAAGTTTTCGAAGGATTCATCTAAGGAAAATTGTGGTTTTGTACGACAACATCAATTTCAAAACTCACCATTTCATGCTGGGAGGTTGAGTTTTTCAACGGTAAAAAATACACTCTTTAAATAATTTATGAAATGTATTAATTTTATTGCATTATATGTTAATGAATACGTCACAAAATCAAAATGACGATGAAGTTGGACCCTCGCAACAATATGTATGTTCTTATCATTGACAATTTTCATTCTTGGCATTTAAAAAACATTACTAGAATTCAGAAATAAATATAATTTTGCAGGACATCAACAACCCTCGAAGAACAACAAAGTCACACATACCTACAATATGTGGAATCGGTAGACAAAAACAACAACATGAATTTTGGAACCTTACTTTTAAAATCCTACATTTAACACCGTCAAAAAGAGTAACAAAATATTACTCTTTTGATATCAAAGTATATTGAGTTGCCCTTTTGAAAATTTCAAAAAAAAATTGTCGCCGTTTTGATTCCGAACTCGAAAAAAGAGTAACAGATTTGGCCCATTTTTTTAAAAAAAAAAATACTAGGACTTATCTTTGAAAAAAGATCACTTATTTTGAAGAGTTTCTTCTATTTACTATTTAATTGCAAACTGCAATGTAGCACTTGTTTTGAAGAAGCTTGTCTTATTTAATTGCGATGCAATTTCAATCTCATTTTCAAATTTACACCATAGTGTTTGACTGTATTCATCCGTTCCTTTGCATCAAATTTACACCATTGTCTACTTTTCCTCTTACTTATTCGCTATAATTTTTTATTTTCTCGATATGTCACTCCAAATTTGCTACTATTATTTAACTATTATGCAAGGTAAATTTTGATGCAACAATAAAAAATAGAGAGGCCACATACAATCTCATTCTTTCTTTAACTTCGCACTTGTGTGTAATAGGAAGTTTTGCAAAAAGTATAGGACTACAAAATCAAATCTCCCGACAATATAGGGGAAAAAATCCAACATAGTACTAATGTCCTCAAATTATGTTTATTAATTTGTAAGTTGTGTCTTTATGCTATGCAAATAGTAATTTTATCATTTCTATCACCTCCTCTCCACACTCTACAAAAGAAAAGGAAAACTGGAAGTTCATATATTGTGTTTGGAGACTAACAGAGAAGGCATCAAGAGATGAAATGACATTAGACTTTTTATTGAACAGTCATTGGGGAGATACAGTACATGAACTGATATGTGGTTAGCAAAACATGCCAATAAACAAGCGCCCTTATGCACTAACTCACATATTGTTTCTCAAGAAGGCTTCCGCAAAATGCCAAGTCAAACCGTTCCTCGGGAGGATCTCCAATGCAATCAAAAACTGCATCTGCATTTGAGAAATTCTCTTCTGCTGTGTACCTGAGGCAGTATAGAAGTTCGTTTGCAATAATTGGGAAAAGATCAAGAGATCAAGTAAGTTGCACAGACAAAAGAGGCAATCAGCTACTTGTTCAGAAGGAAACCAAAAAGGCTGTAAAAGCATGCATCTGTCTTCTAATACACTATGGGAGGTCCTCCGAAAACAATCAATAAACAGTATCTGCTATGATAAAACAATCGTGCCTGCTTATAATTTAATGAGATGCTTAAGTCAGAGACTGAAATTTTTCTTAATGAAAAGAAACTACTGAGTTAGATCATCCTTGTTATCTTCCCTGTATTGATCATGCATGTCCTTCCTTCTATCTCCTCCATTGTACTAGATTAGACTATTTAACTGATCTAGCATAAACAGAAAGCAACTACAGCAAACACTCTCGTGCATCTAACAACTAGCAAGTATCTAAGATGGAGCCTCACCGCTAGAGCTAAAAATAAGCCTTTAGATATAATTAGACATGCAGATATGTTGTATGTAAACCCTTTTTCAGGCCTTACAGAAAGTTTAGAAACTTGCCACCTCCACCATGTTCACCTGAGTGCTTAGAGGCCCCTAATCAATAATTTCATTTTCATTGGAAGAAATATCCTAGGGGAAATGAGTCAGATTTGCGACGTTAAGCATTGGAAGCCATTGGCTTCCTGATCATACATCTTGTACTTTTTATTTTATTTTGAACTTCAAGGACGCCAGAAGTTTTTCTGAAAAGGTCTCAGTTTGATTATGAAGTTTCTCAGGTTATGCTTTAACAAGATGTTACACCAAGTTAGAATTTCAGAAACCAAGTAAAAGAAGTTCTGTTAACGATAGAGAATCGAAAAATGCACCAGGGAGAGAGATGCTGGCTGTTGGTTCAAATAAAAAGCAACTTACCCACTCTTGGTCACAATGCATGTCATTCCAGCTGCTTTGGCAGCTGCAAGACCTATGCCACTATCTTCTACGACAACACAACTGCAGACCATAAAGAGAAGATTTTAGCAGTCGGAATGACAATGTAAAATTATAACAAAATTATTTACTATCTTCTTCAGCTTAAAATCATATAACTTCCCTAAGGTGTCATCACGTAATTTCCCAATCCCAGTGCAAGTTATCTGTGTACAGTACCTTGAAGGATCAACCGCAAGGGTTTCGGCTGCTAACAGATAAATGGCCTGCCAGGAAGAAAGTATATGGTATTAAACATTTAAGACTTATCTTACAGCTATCATTGTACTAGAGACACGTCTCCTCAAATTGAAGTTCTACTGCAACTTGTTAAATGAAGAAAGCACAGTTCACATGTTTAAAATAGCTATACAACCGAAGTTAACAGATTATCCTTGTACATTTATGGATATCAGAGAGTTAAAGAAGTATAGAGAAGGCTATTGGAACAGATCCCAAATTTCAGATCATGCAGATACGAGGTTTATCTCCTAATGAAGTTTATTTTTGCTTTTTAATCTCTAAGAAAATGAATTTGTCACTACAAATGCATTGAACAGACATTTGAAAGATAAGATATTTACCGGATCAGGCTTCTTGCGAGGAACCACATCACCTGCAAATATCTGGATCTGTTCTGCTCGCTCTGGTCCCAACAAACACGAGACTATGGCTGAGACCTAGTATCAGCAGATTTGATTCATCTTATGATCACAAAACATTATCTTAGTGTGGTGACAACAAATAATCATGCTAGTAATTTTTCTTATTTCTCCCAGCAAGTGAGCAACTCCAGTTAGAAAACCAGAGATTATCATCTTGAGCAGTAACCAATTCAATAGTAGCAAAGGGAAAATCTAACAATTCTAAATTATAATATCAGATGAGTTTTTCTAAGAGTTGATCTTTTCGAACTTTTTAATGTGGATGGCTTCCCATATCATTTTCTAGGTCCAAGAAAGTAGAAACTACATTGTCAATCAAAGAGGCAAACTAAGACTAAATAGACATGGAAAGGTAAATTCGTCAAATATAAGCTTGATGATTTAGTCATGAGTATTATTAGGATAACTAGTAAGCTCAATACAGGCTAAAAGAAGTTCCGAGCATAGCTGTAACCTTCAATAGCAGATTATTGTCAAAAGACTCAACATTGACACATAATACTAACACTTGAGAACCTGATTACTCATACCGCCTTTTCATTGGAAGTGCTGCATACTGCAACTTTAACTCCATTACCCAGAGCCTGATCAATCAACCTGTAACATTTAGTTTGGAACTCTTACAATATGGAGAAGAATAATCTAAAGGAAAATTCATTCTGACTCTTGCAATTTTGTCAATATATACACTGTCCCATAGGTCAAATGACAGTAAGTTTTTCATATTGAGATTCTATTGAAGGTCATGACTGAATTTGATAATTAGTCTATAACAATATTAAAATCAAATACAACAGATAGAAGAGTCTTAAACCCTGAAAACTTTGGTGCATAGAAAGAACTTTGCCCTTGAATAGTTGCATTATGTTCAATAAAACATAAAAAAGGCATGCAGTCCATAGTCAGGAGTCAGGACAGCATTTGTTCAAAGAATAAAAAAATGTCTACATCTCAGAGGTAAATGAAACTCTTGATGATTAATTATGGATTGCTGAAGCTCCAGAATGCTTCATTAGAGCAGACCAATTTCCTCATTGGTTTCTTCTGCGGTTAATAATGTCCACACCTAACACCAACATCAATGCCTCTGGTGGAATAATTTTATGTGCAACTGAACTATAAGAACCTTATATACATATAGAAGTGAAAAAATAAAATATGAAAAAGAAGAGCTTACTTTTCAACACCTGGCCGAAGTGGTAGCAATTTCTTCTCAATGAGAACCATGAATAATTCGGTCTTTCGCTTGTGAAGTCCTGCAATAAACTCCTTTCTTTCTTCTTCAGTTTTTGGTGCATTTTCTGGCCAACCTACTTTGTTAAAGTAGGCTGTCATCCTAAGATACCCAATTCAACCACAAAAATAAATCAATTCAATTCAAGTCTAAATAAACTATATGAATTGTTGTTGCTCCTAAGAAGAAATAACTTCACCTTTCTTTTCCACCTCCAATTTTGAGTAATTCTCCATACAAATCAACATCCCAAGTTACACCCAATTCCTTCTGTATACCATTGAAAATAATGGATTCTATGAAAATCAATCAAATATGAACGAACATAAGTACATAACTTTGATCCAAACTCTGTATTTCTCCTATAAAATTTATTAAATAGGTACTAATTATTATTTTAGAACTTTAGATTTTAATTCCGAACCTATAAACTTCAAATCTGTTTTCGTTTCGGCAAACAATACAACACACTGAAAAAAGTGTACCTCAGAAAAGGTATCATTGAAAGAGATACGATGACCATCTTTTTCAGTATCGACAAGTACGCCATCGCAGTCGAATAGCAGTGCCTTTGGGAGGACCGAAGCAGAACATGTCACTACTCCACTACGCCTACTCGTCTTGCTACGGAGAGTAACAACTGATTTTGTTCTGTCAATTGAAGAAATGGGTGATGATGACGATAACAGGGAGCTGTTGGTATTGGGTAATGTGAGTGTTGATGGTAGAACTGAAGCAGCTCTTCTTTGTGATGAAAAAATGGCCGGAGAAGAAGAGACAACTCTCAACGCCATTGAAATCGTTAGGTACCACTCAAATTGTTTCAGCTTTCATTTGGTTGGAAAATAACGGTTTTCCAACCATGCGTTATCCGCCCAATGACCCCACATCTCCGAGCGGGTTTGATTTGGTTTGGTTTTTCTCTTTTTAAGTTTAATAATGGATTAATTTAGATTTAAAAAAATACTCTTTTCGTTCTACTTTTTCTGTCTGAAATTGTTTGTCATGTTGCGTTTATCGAAAGTTAATTTGATTTTTTTTAAAAAATAAATTAGATCACATTAATTTTAAACAAAAAAAATAAATATTCTAAAACTATATGAAAAGTACTATACATAACAATTTTTTTACATATTAATATGATGAAAAAATACATCTTAAAATGTTAGTCAAAATTTTTATAGTTTGACTCTAAAAATAGAAATCATGACAAACAATACCGGACGTAGAGAGTATTTTATATGCTGTTTCTTTCTATAAATAGTTGATCACATTATTTGTCATTTTATAAAATTTATGTATAAGTACCATATTTTATTTATTATATTCTTGATAGAGTAGTTGATTAATCTTGAAAATTGATTTATCATTTATTATAAAATTGACTTAAGAAAACAATAAATAAAGTCAGAAGGACAAAGTTACATCTTTTTTTAATGCAAGAAGAAAAACAAAAATATGACATATAAAATGGGACAAATGAGTAGTATTAATTTCTTGTCTTTCTATTCTTAATTCTCAAGTCAAATTTTTGGATTCCTGAATGCTCGAATGAAATCGGTCGTTTTTGTCCATGAAATAAATATTGAGCCCGTTTTTTGAATGTTTTTACAATTCAAAAGTTTCCAAGAAAAGAATAAGCACATTATTAATGTAATAATCAATCAATTGAATTACTAAAATTTTCTGAAAAGAGTGATATGTGTTGAAGTATAATAAGATTTGTTAGTTGTATTAATTGACTAAATATTTTAAAAATATTATTAAATATGATAAGATCAATTTTTTTTTAATAACATTCATTTTAAATTTAGAAAGTATACATATTTTCGGGATAATAGAAGTAATTTTTATGACATTCTTTTTTAGTTAAGAAGATGTAGAATATTATTTTGTATATTATAAGAACAACTAACTTTTAAGAAAGTGAAAGAAAAAATTCATAGTATTGTGGGTTCTGTTTGATTTTATTAAATTTTAATTCGATATTTGAGTTTGAAAAAATGTGCATCAAATATCAAATCAAGATATTTTGATTCACTTAAACTTTTTTAATTTTAATTTGATTTAATACGATATTATTAAGACAGTTTTTCGATACAAATAAATAAAAATAAAATCATTAAAACATTTAACTACACATAAAAGTTGAAAACTCGAAATAATCATTAAACATATTTAATAATTAAAGTTTCCAACAAAGAACTATAAAAGTTTTTTTCTCTTTTCGATTTTTTGTTTCCAACAAGCACTCTTTATAATAGCAGCCAACAATTGAAACAAGAATCCAACACTTGAAACTTAAAACAATACAAAGTCACAAATGCCTTAATATTCTACTTCAAATAAAAAACAATAAGAATCACAACTCACAAACACAAGTTACCAAATATATAATTAATAAAATTAAAGACATTCTTTAAATTAAGTTAATAAAATTTCAAATTTTTGTTTTTTTACCCTTATATTGAATATCAAACAGAAAAAACTAAAATTTCGAAAAAACACCAAATTTGAACCTAATCAATTCGGTTTAATTTTTTGATTTTCATGTCCAACCCTAATAAAAAGTGTCAACATTTTTAGGTCCCACCGAGACTTGAACTCGGGTTACTGGATTCAGAGTCCAATGTCCTAACCACTAGACCATGGGACCAATCTTGTAAGCAACTCATTTAAGAAATTAAATCTAGGTTTAATGGTTAATTGGGTCTTTTAAGGCCCAACTATTTCAATCTGAAATGGAGTATATACTAGTTTGATAATAATACTCGGATTATTTAAAGGGAAAATTGTATATATAATAGCAAACTATTAATTCAAATTAAATGTAATAACTATAGTTTGATTTAATTGTAACCCAAAGCAAACTGTTGTTATTTCTCCTTTCTCTTAATGAATCTCGTCTCTCTCTCTTTTACACAAAAAACAAATGTATAAAATGTTTTTGTGTTTGTATAAAGCGAGAGAAAATTGTATCTACACATTTATTTTCGTTCCCCTCTCTCCCCTCTCCCAAAACTCGCTCGTTCACTCGCCTCTCTCACTTTATGCAAAAATGAAAATGTATAAAATGTGTTTGTGTTGTATAAAGCGAGAGAAAATTATATATATACATAATTTTCTTTCCCTCTCTCCCCTCTCCAGATCTTGCTCGGTCACTCACCTCTCTCACTTTATACAACATTGTGTTTGTGTTTGTATAAAGAGAGAGAAAATTGTATATACAAATATAAATGCATATATTTTCATCTTATACACTTATGACTATACAAATACGATATTCCCTTGCCTAATTTTCTTTTGTCCTTCTCTCTTTCTTGCTTTATACAAAACACATATTATACAATTGATCTTTTGTATATGTATAGCAAAGCAGATTATACATTCGCTTTGTTTTGTATGTGTTGCGAAATTATACAACTGTTTTTTTTTTGTATATGTATAGTGAAATATATATATATATATTTATGTTTGTTATGTAGCACAATTATGCAAACTATAGCTATAGCATATAAATATGATTTTTATGTTTGCTATATGTAAAAGTTACTCATATTCAAATCGTTTGATATGTGCTATGAGAATTTATTTCGAATCTTTATTAGTTTTATAGTTAGAGGTATAAGGTAATATTTTGTGATGTTTTTTACTACTTTTTGGTATTTTTCAGAAGACTATTATATATATATATATATTCATGAACGTTTACATAATGTTCTTCCTATAAATGTTTCACCAAATGGTGTAGTTTCTTTGTAAGGAGCAAAGGATCAATCAAGCAAATTTTTCAAAATAAAAGAAGAGCGAGCAAAATTGTGATAGAGGAAAATCTCAATAACTCGATTATTACTATTTGAACTTTTATTTCATTGGTGAGGATTTAATCTCCCGCCTTGTAATTTCCTCACCTACTTCCCCTTCTACCACCCTATTTAAAGAAAAATAATAATAATAATAGTTGCGATGAAGAATTAAAAGCCAAAAAGCATCGAATCGTAGACTCGTAGTAGTTACCCAATTTAGGTGCTGTTGTGATTTATGTGGTCCTCCTTCTAAAGCAAATAGTAGAAGCTGGCAATTGCAAGTTGCATAGAGCTATCCAGCCACCCCATTAATTGGATACACATTGACATTTTTGGTGCATTCAACTTTTATAAAGGAAGTTGATGAATCGAAGTAATTAACTCGTTTGTTTTTTTATGAATTCATATTTTAATCGCACACTCCTATTAAATTTCTCACACTGTCAAATCACAAAGCTTTTGAAGTTCATCGATTCATTCTCGATCCTGTTTTGATTCACTCACCATAAATTTTTACGATAAAACGTTAATAGTTTGAAAGTGGGATGCAATCCACATGACTGGTTTCACTATAACTTTTAAGTTGGAAAAAGGGATTTATCCTTATGGAATCCAAATTGTGTTTCACATATATGTGTAGGTGGTCTATTTGTACTTTATTTCATTCTCTATCCGTGACCTAACATAATTTAACAAAATAAAAGAGGAGTTCCTTAATTAGTTATGTCTCTTCTCCCTATTAAAAAGGCAACCAAATTGCACCTTCCCCTCTTCTTTACAACTATTGCTTTCATTCAAGAATGTACTTTTTCAACTTTCATTTTGAACTAACTTAATGTTAAATATACACTCTACCTGTCAGGAAAAATGAGGTAAAAGTGTCTTACAAGTTTTCAATTACAAAAATAGGACAACTGATTCATTTTTAATATTAATAAAAGGACTAAATTAATAACATCTTTCGTAGTTGTCTGAACAACTACTAGACAACTTCCAAACAACTACAGAAGTTGTCGAACGACTGAAGAAGTTGTCTCGACGCTTACGACATTGTCGGACGACTAAAGAAGTTGTCCCAATAACTACAACAGTTGTTGGACTAAAGCATAAAAAAGTTTGAAACTATTGTGAAAGCATCTTTTAACCTAATATATATTATTTGTCACTTCTATCCAATGAAGGACTTTTACTTAATTGACTAACTAGTTTGTCCCTTTTAATAGACTTTCGCCAATATATCCTGAAATTAGGTGTTACTTTAGAAACGAATAAGTATTATGTTTTTTCAAATATGCCTTTATATTTCATTTTCTTAATAGGTTCAATACTAAGCATTGTATTTATTGATTTCTTAATGATTGTAATTTTCACTAAGATAACACTTATTTTGACATGTCGAAATAAATAAAGAATTATTTAACACGTTAAAACCTAATGGAAAATAAGGATCACAGTAACTAACCTATTTCGTCTTCTTCCTAAAAACCGCTTCCGTATCCAACCCAAACCCATCAATGCCTCTCACCTCAACCAGCTCAGACACTTTGAACAATTCCTTAAGTGGGCCCACACTGTACAAATCATTAGCTGAATATTTATCAGCCCGTCTAGATAACGACACGTGTAACACACAAATCCCGCCGGGCTTCAACGTCCGTTCAATTTCTCCGACGAACTTCCATGGATAAAGTGCATGATCAAATACATTAGAGAATTCTAAGTCAAAACTCCGATCGTTAAACGACTGACGATGAAAATCACCTCTGATTACTAACGGAGGATACGGCACTAGATCAATACCGATTGAATCGTTCACTCCCACCCGTTTCAACGCCGCTACTTCCTGCCCGACCCGTGCCCCGACGCAAAGCGCTTTTGAATCGTTAGATAAGAAACCTCGAAGTTTCAAATCGTCGAAGAATCCGGAGAAAACCCGAACCTTTCGGTCCCAATCTCGGGTCGTCCAGATTTTTCGGAGTTTCGGGTTTAGCGTTTTGTTGAGCTGACGATTGATGTATGCATCGTAGGATGAATATCCGGGTCGAATTCGGAGGTCCGGTGGAAGTGATAGAGAGTGAGGTGTA